CCCTTCTTCAGAAAATGAAGAAGGAAATGAAGAAGAATTTTCTGAAGAAGGGTCTAGGCCCGAAACGTCAGCCTTCCTGCTCCTCTGATGCTGCTTGGCCTGCTGTGTTCATCTAGCTCTACACCTTGTTATCTCAGATTCTCCAGCATCTGCAGTTCCTACTATCATTGAAAAGCATTAGCTTGCTTTTTGCTTAGAAGAGTTGGAGTTTTGTTTTTGCTTTTGGAAAAGCCCAGAGTCTAGAAACCTTGTTTCAGTTTGCAGACATCCTGGTTGAAGTTAGACGTAAGAAATAATTTCTCCTGAAAAATAGATACTTCAAACCAGTTAAGAAATATGTTACCTCAGACTAAGGGTTTAGTTTAAGGTTCTTGAGTAGATTTGAAAGTTCCGGACCAGAAGTGTTGTGCTAGAACCCTGAAGGAGTTATTTGAAGCTAAGAAAATTTAAGTTGAGTTACATGACTAATCAGAAAAAGGCTATCAAACTCTCAAGATCAGGATATGGAATAAGTGGTTAAATCAAGCCTATTAATGTGATATGGACAAAACTCTCTGACGTTTAACTACTCTAAAGTGATGGTATTGGGATGGATGGAAATTTATTTTACTGTGTGGTTTGATATCTTTTGAACAGCATTATTTGTAAATAGTTTGATTTATTTTATTTTCATTTCTTTTATGTAATAAACAATTTTCTAAGAATTTCAAACAAATTTCTAACAACGACATGTCAAAATACAGAAGGGAGATAGAGGACTTGGTGATTGGTGCAGTGAAAACAATCTGTCTCTCAACATCAGGAAAACTAAAGAACTGATCATCGACTTCAGAAAGAAAGGAGGAGAACACGCCCCCATCTACATCAACAGAACTGAAGTTGAGAAGGTGGAGAGCATCAAGTTCCTCTGAGTGACAATAACCAACAACCTGTCCTGGACTTCCCATGTAAATGTGACAGTGAAGAAGGCACAACAACGCCTCTTCTTCCTCAGGCAGCTCAAGAAACTTAGCATGTCCATAAAGTCCCTCACCAACTTCTACAGATACACCATTGAAAGCATACTGTCTGGGTGCATAACAGCCTGGTATGGCAACTGCTCTGCCCAGGGTGATAAGAAACTACAGAAGATGGTGTGCATAGCCCAGACTATCACAGAAGCGAACCTTCGATCCATGGAGTCTATTTACATGGCTCGTTGCCACAGAAAGGCAGCCAACATCATCAAAGACCCATCACACTCTGGTAATGATCTCCTACAACCTCTTCCATCAGGCACAAGATACAGAAGCCTGAACATATGCATAAGCAGTTCAGGAACAGCTTCTTTCAGAGTTTCTGATAGATATCACATAGTTGAATGGACTCTAGCCTCAAATAATGTAACGTGCAATGTAACCTGTATGACTGTAAGTTTTTTTGATCTGTACATCCTTTGCTTGCTGTGATCTGCCTGCACTGTTCGTAAACAAATAAAACTTTCCACTGTATTTCAGTATGCGTGACAATAAAATCAATCAATTTCATTGTTGAATCCAAATCTGTAGCATTTCACGCTTTTGTTTCACAACCTCATAAAATTTTAAAAAACATAAAATATGATCTATCAAGCTAGATTTCAGTCTGGAATCTGCTTTGTTTAGAAGTAATAGCACCTAGGATCATAACAAAGTTTCTGCCTTAATCTGGCTGTGTTTACTTTTGTACATAATAATGTGAGATCGAAGGATTGAACTGATAACTTTGAAATGTTGTTACTCTGTGCAAGAACTGTTGCTTATTTGTGAAATGTTTTTAAAGATGAGATGTGAGAAAAGCAGCTCAAAACATTGCAAAGATTTGTGGTGTAATGTAGAATTTAGGAAGCCTTTGCTGAAGTATGGTTTTGAAGTGTTGTTTGTTTCACAGATTTCTCCTGGACTCTTTGAATATGTCGCTAGTCCTGTGGATGAAGAAATTAAAGTTGCCATCATTAGAGATACACTCCGTTTGGTTGATCCAGCACTTAAAAAAAACAATCGCCATCAGTAAGTGTTTAATTTTTGTTTCAAATGTTCATTTTCCTAATCACAGGCTCTTGATTTCTTTTGAACACTGCAGCATTCGGAACAGTTTTTTTCTTTGTTCACAGCTGGTAGCATTTTGATACTACCACTTAAAATGTTTGCCCTTGAGGTTGGGGTTAGGGGGAGCTAGAACAGACTGTAACTGCTCCTGGTTGGTAGAAAGGACAAGACAGAATGTTGTCCCAGATTATTAACTATTATTAATGAGCGTCAGTTCTTGCTTGTTTATTTAACCTGGGCTACATCAGATCTAATAGTAGATGTTGCAAAAATTTATATGGAATAAATCATGTGCTAAATTACATATCAGTTTACCTAATGTTACAAAAATGACATTACCAGATACTGCTCCATGTATCCAGACTTTTGCCGTGCTTTTGTTCATTCTTTTACAGAATTCTATAGCAGTTGCAAATAACTGACTGCCTAATGCAAACAGATGAAGAAGATTGTTACTTATGGTTAAACCTGACAGAATAATGTATAGTTAAAAAGCTAACTACTAAGGTACCATCTGAAGACAAGTGTGTGAACATCAACTTGTTTGATTTTTTTATTAAGTTCTTTGTGTACTATATTCTGTCTTAAATTTCCATTCTATGTTGACTAAAAGCATATTGGACCTAAAGGATTGTAGGCATTCCAGGCAATCATTTAATACAAAGTTTCCCACACTAGTTTTACAATATGACCCCATTTTAATACTTGGAAATTTACATGACCCCAAACATCAACAAAAACAAAACAGCATAATAACATTCAGTATGTACTTATTAAATTTTGTTTATTAATTCAACATCTAATATCATAAAAATATGAGAGTTTGTATTTTTAAGGTGTTCTTGTAAAAATGTTATTATTTTATGAGCTCACAACTTCAAGCAGGATTTGATCCACTCTAGCTCATGGCCCTTGCCCAGGAAGCAACAGAAGTGCAGGTTGAGGCAGCTTATAGAGCCATGCAGTATGGAAACAGACACTTTGGTCAACTTGACCATGCTTGTTGAATGTTTTTAAGACAAAGATAGATAGATTTTTGAACAGTTAAGGAATTAAGGACTATGGTGAGCAGCTTGGTAAATGGAGCTGAGTCCACAAAAAAATCACCCATGATCTTATTGAATGGCAGATCGGGCTCGATGGGCCAGATGGCCTACCTCTGCTCCTATTTCTCATGTTCTTATATTCTTATGCTGACCTCATATCCCAAACTGAACTAGTCCCAATTGCCTGTGTTTCGTTCATATGCCTCTAAACCTTTCCTATTCATGTACCCGTTCAAATGACTTTTAAATGTTGTAATTGTACCCGCTTCTACCACTTCTTCTGGTAGATCATTCCATATACCACTACCTTCTGTGTAAAAAAGATGCATAAATGAGCAGGTCTGGGCAGTGCTGGAGCAAAGATTATCTTGGATGAGTAGGGAAATAGAGTTGAGACTGCCATCAGATAAGCAATTATCTTATTAAATGGTAAAGCAGGCTCAAGGGCCAAAAAGTCGACTCTTGCTCCTAATTTGTACGTTCCTACTTGGGCAGGATGAAATTGAAGAGGAGGGAGAGCCCAATGAGGATCTCACATTTACCCTATTTGAAGCAGAGTGTTGTTGGTCCAGTCTTCATGGTTTTATCTTTTTGAAAATGCAGTCTTATCTTGAATCTTGTGCAATCCATGACAAATTGAATACCATCTTGTATGAATGGAAACACATTTACTTGTTATAGGAATTTTCTCCACTGACTTCTACGTTGGCGTTGTACCACTTCCTTCAGGAGTTGATGAAACAGCTTTGGGTGGAGAGAGAAGAAGCAAATGTATGCATGACCTTCCATACAGACCAACAACAATCTGCAATTAGAAATGAAAAGCATTGATTCTAAAATGCTGTAGAGAGTTTTCCAGTCTCCAGCGGGAGAATAGAAGACTGTTTGGAAAAAAGTGGTTTAAACAACCACTTTCAGTTGTTCCTTTTTGTGTGTTACTGGTCTCTTCTGGGAGTTACAAAGGCAGATGATGGAAACCAGTCAGTCCCAAAACCATTAGAATTAATCACATTTCTATGCAATTATCAGATAAAGATTTATGTTAATTTCTGAAGTTAGTGGGAACAATTTGCAGCCAACCTGTCAATCTTACATCCCTTATATTGCCAAAAAGAGATGTCAGATTAAGCCGATGAAAAAGCAATCTGTCAAGATGGCCATTATGTTAGTATCTGAAACTTACATCAGGAAGAGCCTTACTTAATATACCTTAACAGAAATCACTTACAACCTCTCCCCCCTGTCTGCAACTTCAGCTTGGGAATTTCAGATTTAGCAACAAATGATCTACCAGCTGCATTGTTTCTTTGTTATGCAAATTTTGTGTTCATAAAGTCGTCAAAAGACTTTTGCAACTAGTTTGTTGTTACATGTTGAAACGTAAATAGCTTCACTGGTGGGTATTAGTCTGTAATTTGTCTTTTATCATTAGCACAATTTTTATGTAGACATCGAATTTAATCAAGAGAACTTGCTTCTGAGAATCCTAGAAGTAAAGTGTGAAGATAAAAATGTCTGCTGTAACAAAGATATCTTAATAATCTGTGAAGATTCAACATTGCAGTCTCTAGCACTTGATCTGACTACTATAAATTGCATCATTATTGAAGGTGAAAAGAATTTCAAATGGCTTGACTCTTCCTCTCGCCCTGCACTATTCTCCCCAAAAATTCTTTCCTTGTTCTCCAAATACATATTTAGAGTAGTCACCTTTCACTTGAAATACTAAATTGAACTCCAGTGTTCCTTCTCAGCAAACATTAAAAATCTCATGGCAGCGTTCCAAGAAAAGCTGGAGAATTTTTCTGGTGCCTTACTTTTCTTATCCTTACTGATAATTGAATAGGAATATAATTAATCCTGATGGTGTTAGGTGTGAGTGGTTTCTATCATCTGCCTTTGTAACTCCCACAGAAGGCCAGTAACATGCAAAAATGAACTGAAAGTGGCTATTTATACCATTTTTCTGAACAATCTTCTCCCATTGGAGACTGGAAAATTCCCTGCAGTGTTATAGGATGAATGCTTTTCATTACTAATTGCAGATTGTTGCTGGTTCATATGGTTGTGCCATGCATATCTTTGTTTCTCTTTTCTCTTAGAGTGATCACTAACCACCATGATTGAAAGCATCTATGTGGTCCTTCACAACATTACTGTTGGTGGGACCTTGCTGTGCCAAATTGTGTGTTTCCCTACTGTGAATATATTTCAAACTTCTCTGAAGATTTTAAAACATTGGGAATGTCCTGAAGTTGTAAATGCAATTTTATAAATGCAACTTTATTGCTTTTTCACCACACACCATCTTGACCATCTTAAGTGGCTCCAAGACCTGACAGTGCTATGTTGATCACAGAAGAGATTAGAATTGATCTCAATTGATGCTTCCCTTCCTTTTTGTGTGATATGCAAGTCCTGCTATGTTTCTGGCTCTTCATGGCAGAACATAGACTTGAATGAGAGAAGGTGGATTCAGTTATCATCTTATCAATTCAGTAAACAGCACTGCACCAACTTCTAATCCTCCACTTTAACCTTATTCTTTTTTTTTCATTTTTGTATGCCACAAACCTAACCAAATTTCTCTACTTTATATGATAGAGGTCAAAACAGTGAAACTCATATTTTTTCTATGTATGTATGCTATAAATAGAAAGGATACATCACCTAATGGATAATGATTCATTTTTTAAATGAGGTCTGCCATTATCCCTTAGCCAATTCATAGTGCTGACATGCATAATGTGTCTTGAATTGCACTGGGATCCATGTGTGCCATTCTGACATTGTAAATTCTGTGACTGAAGAGGAAAATGGAATGAAAACTGCTACTGTTCATTGATGTCAAAAATATGATAAAATGAAACTTTTAATCCCCTTTCATGAGACTTAGTTTCCTTGTTTGTGTAACATATTAGTCATACATTTGGAACAATGCTCATTTTGCTATGGACACCATCTACTATATGTTTAATTTCAACAAAAGAATAAAAACAAATGTATTATTGGGATGCAGTAGAAAATCTTAACTTGTGAAATCAAGACCACAGTTCACTTGTCAGAAGATTTTGTTTTCAATTATCATTTCAGGCCTGGAGCACATAAATTCAGCTATGTTCAGTGCAGCACTATGTAAAACTATTCTGGTGAAATGCCATAATTTAAGTGTACTGAACCAGAGTTTTAGTACTTTTGTTTGAGGTACTTATTAAAGATCATATAATGTTATCAAAAAGTTCTACTGGTATTCTAATATTCTTTTCCCTACAATATCCCTTTAAGTAAATTAACTAGTTATTCATCTAATTTAAATGAAAGATCTTATTAGGTACAAAATGGGTGTCATTTTTGCCCATGTACCATCAGCAAACCAATTGAAGAATAAGATGATGCCAAACTATTTGTTAGATCTCATATTTTCCAATGAGAGTTCGAGTCCGGTAGCAGATTTCAGGTATAACTTTATTTTCTTTGCAGTAAGGCACACAAAAACTTCAGATTGTATACAGTTAAAACTTAAAGGGCACACACCCCCCTTTTGATACTACTGGTCAGTGGCACCAGGTTATCTGTCTGCGATTGGCTCTCTGGTACAACATCTTAAAGAGATGGACAGGCCGGTGGTCCAGCCCCAGTCATAATGTTTTCACTGACTTTAATGATAAGGGGGGGGTCACTTCTATTGCCAGAATCTTTTCTTTTTGTGAGTTTTTTGTATATATGTAGATCCATAGCAACTGTGGAACATATATACGGAATCTATGATTATCTGAAGAATCTGAACTAAAACATACTGTTAATATTGTAACAGATTGATTAAAAAATTCAAGAAAAACAACTATGTAGTGTAAAATGTTCTTATTTATGTAAGAAATTGCAGCTATACATTCCATCCCAGCAGTAACCTTGATA